AAATCTAAAATATAATTTATATGTTTAAAAATATATATTTATATAAATTTAAAATATAATTTATATATTCAAATATAATATTTATTTATATATAAATTTTATTATAAATTTTAATTTTATATAATAAATATATTTGTGCATTTCACATAATAAAATACTAATTAAAATAATTTGTTTTATGGATAAACTAGGATAACCTTAGACGAAAGACAATGATTAATTTTTCAAGATACTAAAATTTATTTAATGGAATGACTTCTCTCAACCATATTTTCTCATACACATGGGGGGTTTAGGGATTGAATCCCAGATGACTTGTTTAAGAGATAAATATTACTAAACACTTTTAATTCAACTAATTAATTTATAAATTATAATTTTTTAACTCTTAACTTAAAAGTTTTCGTTAAATTTTTAATTAACACATGGAATGTATGAGCAAAAGAGATGATTGGGATGAAGGCAGAGGCAATATGCAAAAAGAAAAAAGAAAGAAAAATAGAAGAAGAATCTGGAACGAGAAACAAGTTTGACCATAAAGTTATGTATAGGAGACGTGGCACAAAAAGACGTACCGTGAAAGACGCTAACTTAAGACTAATGAAAACAAAACACGACCCGCAAGTCACAACCCACAATTAAAAAACAAAAACAAGTACTATATAATGTTTCATCAACCAAAATATTTGAGTTGCTCTATATAATGTTTCCTTTTCATGACTCACTGAAAGGAATCTGGTTGGACAGCATGATTTGGTGACAACAGCTTTCCAATTTTCATAATAGTTTATGAAAGACTTGCTAGCTTCACGCTCTGCTGTGAACCACAACATTATCGTTATATTCCATTTCCAAATCTCCATATGATTTCACCAACCCAACATGCTGCTTCAACTTTTTGGTTTCAAACCCTTGCCTTAGCATATTACAACACTCATTTTAAAGACATTACTCTCTTTTATCAATAAAATACACACATACTCCAATATTAAAGAGATTTTTTAAATAATAAACAAAAATAAAATCGTGAAATTTTAGATATAAAACGGATAATATCTCATCATTACCAGACAAATATCACAATATAACCTCATTATATATATAAATAATAATAGTCATTAATATTTCATTAAAGTTAAAATAGCATTTATTTTTGAAACTTATAATTTTGATACCATAAATATTTTGGAATTTCATTTGTTGAAGGGTTATGAGAGGTTAGGGTTTGCGAAAAGAAAGGTGGTGGTCCCTGGGTATGAGATGAAAAAGTTTAGAGGTTCCTTAACTTGTTTGGACCGTTACGACTTTCCTTAACGAGCATCCATCCAACGCTCACCGATTCATCCTATCCTTCAAACTTCTGATAACGTGTACGGTCCTGATTTAAAGACAGCTGTCCCAGCTCGCGTAAGTTGAAGCGTGATCATGATTCCAAGGCATCAACGGCTCGTAACGACTCGGCTCCACGCGATCACGCTTCTATAAATACCCTCCCAACCCTCGTTTTCTCTTCACCACAGTCACATTCACTCACTCCTTCAAACTATTCTCTCTTTGCTATAACTGTTATAATCACTTCATAATCTTTCTGTTTTCTCTAACTCTCTTTCTCTTTCTACAATGGCTAGCTCCACCCTTGTGCTGACGCTAGTCGCCGCATTGCTCGTCGGATCCGCCGTCGCTCAGTCTCCGGCGTCGGCGCCCGCTCTGTCTCCGAGGAGAACGCCAGTCGCCACGCCGCCGGCGATTTCTCCCTCCGCCGCTTCACCGCTGGCTTCTCCTCCTGCTCCGGTGGTGAGCGGTCCCTCTCCTTCACCGTCCGCCGTCAACTCGCCGCCGTCTCCTCCTCTTGCTCCCTCCGTTTCGCCGGCCGGTGTTCCTTCTGTCACTCCCTCGTCCATCGCCGGTACTCCGTCCGAGGCACCGGCACTGGCTCCGGCACAAAACGGAGCCGCATGGAACAGATTCAGCGTCGCCGGATCCGCCGCCGTGGTGGTTCTCGCTGCAGCTTTGCTTGTGTAGAGAGAGTTTCGTGGAGTTTTAACCTTCTAGCTATTTAATCTATATCGTCGCGAATTTACACGGATCGTGTATTATTGTGCTTCATTTTTGGTTGCTTTTGTATGCTGTGTGAGGATTCATTCTTTCGATTATTTTGTGCATTGTATTTATGATGATGATGTTGAATGATACATTCTTATTTTGCTTAACTTTTTCTCACTTCCATTCCGTATTTGTTTGTAATCTATAATATTTAACGGCTTAATTTCGTACAGTAAATATAAACTAAACAAAAAAACTTAATTACAAATTTATAATTAGGAGAGATCTACTTATTATTTAGTTTGTTATTATTTAATTTAAAATTAATGAAATAAAATGTTAAATAATTTTAAATTTTTGTTACAATTATTTAACATTTTAATTTTTAACAAATGAAGTCGCGCTTTGCTGGCATTGCTTGAAGGAGCACGCGCCTCCTCCTCTCTGTCGTTCAAAGCGTTCAACTCTCCTAAGATTTTTCTTTTTCTTTTGTCTTCTTTGCCGTCAATTACATCTACTATAACCAAAATCTTTAATTATTATATTATTAAATTCAACAGTTAAAAATAATGTTTATACTGTTTCATGTTTCATGTTAGAATTTTCCTAGAGAAGAATGAGAAAAAAAGAATCTTACTAGTAAATGATTGTAATTATGAAAGATTTTAACTTTTAATTTTAATATGTACACGTTATCAATCTAAAAATGCTTATGTTATCACAAGTAAGTTAATTAAGTTTAATTTTTTTATGTATTGCCATTATTTGATACATTAGGAAAAAGATTTTAGAATAGAGTATTAGACCATGAATCCAAAAACAAGAGCGAGAAGGGTTGGTAAAGTGTAAAGAAGAAAATGTAAAGTGGAAATGGGTCATGGTGAGGAATGATGTGCAATGAACTTGGTGGTTCATTTTGGTTTGCTTTTTATCACTTTTGAAGTTAGTGGAAAAATGAATGAGACAAATCATACTCTGGAGGGCTAGTTCCTCACTTTCCCTTGTTTGAGAGTGTAAATTTTGCCTTGCTTTCACTCTCATTGTACATTATTGAGGTTTGGTTGGTTACAGTGCAAAACACAAGGAAGCCAAGATCACATGTCTAAAGCGAAGTGACGAAGCACATGTACAACCATCTTAACAAAGGACTCTGTTTCTGACTTTCCCCTCCCCTTTGTAAGGACATGGAAACGTGTATGCATTCATTTTGATTTGAATGGACATTTGTGTTTGTACAATCAAGTTTCCTTACTTTTGTTTGAAAGTAATAAAGAATTATATTATTTATTCAATAGTTTTAATATTTTTTTCTATTTATTTCTCTCTCTCTCTCACAGCAACAATAAAACTCGGCTTACAAAAACTCAAGTACATTAATTGATAATTTATCTTTCTTTTTTTAAAAAAAATACAAAATACAAATATAATTTCTCAAAAATTATAGGACTTGGTTGCACAGTTACAAGTATAATTAGATCTAGATTAGAAGGACAATCAATATGTTTCCTTGCGGTTCTCTCAAATGGGATGTACTAAAGGTTCGCTTCTTGGCATGTAATGGGGGCTTTTGGTAAAAAATGATTTAATGCTACTTTTTTATTTTTATTTTATATATATATATAGAAATTCTATCTAGTCAATAAAAGTATTATGAAGAGTAATTTTATTAAACGAGTAAACATAATTTAATTTTACTGAAACCTTTAAATTATATTTCACTTACCCGTGGATTAATTTTTTATTATTATTTATTAGCTAAATTAGAAAACACATCCAAAAAGTGAAGTAAAACACATGTTATTCCCATAAATTATATGTAACTGGTAATAGATCCTCTTAAAATAAAACACATAATTTTACCTATACGAAAATAGAAAGTGAACAAAAGGCTAAAGTAAGTCAAAGCGCCAAAATTGTAGGGAGCTTGCTGCCCGAGGCAGATATGAACAAGTTCTTTTATGAAAAATGGATTGGTGACAATATAAATATAGGTAATGAAATATACTTAAAATTCAAAAAGGAAAACTATTTATATATTTATATATTTATATATTTAATGGTGAGAAATAGAAGGCTGGGGGAACAGGTGGAAAGTATAATAAATGAATAAATGAAATTGCGTGAGAAAAAAAGAAGATAGAAATATACATCTATTAACAATGAAGTAAAACAGACATGAAGATATGCATTAAAATTGGATGAAGAGCAGAAAATAATAAAGGAGAAAAAGTGAAAGTTGGCACAGACATTGTGGCTTCTTTAATCTTTCCTACGCGGCTGAAACGTGAAAAAAGCAAGCACTATCGTATAATCAATCATATACTATTACTAATGTATGTACATCAACAATCATTTTCTTACCAACTTCAAGGAAACAAAACATGCATGGCCCCAATCCAAGGGTTTCTTCCCATTTGTTCTTGACCCTTAAATTAAAATCATAGAAAGTAATGATATTCATCCAGAACAAATGGGTTGGATCGGAGTAAAGAAAAAAAAAAGATGTAAAAGTAGATGGAAGAAAAAAAAATGTATTGATGAATGATGAGTATTTTCCATATCACCAAAGGATTTGTTACAATGATTTGAAAAAATTGTATTTTCTTGGTATGCATTAATTCTAGGTATATATTCATATTTGCTTGTCTATGATTTTAAAAGTTGAGGAAAATTAAAAAAACATACTCTTGATAAGAGTTACTCACTAGTATTAATCTTTTAGGAAAAGGAAGTGCAGTTTTTAAAATAAATGAAAAGAACTGTATAATTTAATTATTTTAGAGGTGTATTGTATTCAAAATTTGGAAAGAAGTGTTCAGCTATTGGATGTCTAGTAAATCTTGAGAGAAATTAGACCTGTATCCGATGGAAATGGTCTTTACTCTTTAGTAATGAAAAAAAAAATACTTTAATCTTTACAATGATAAAGTGAACCATTAACTTTAATTTTATAAACTTTTACAAATTTGATCTATCTCTAACAAGAAGAGATTAACAAATAGCTCAAGTGTCAAATAATACAAATTAATAAATAAATAAAAATATGCAGAGATTTGCTGTATAGTAATACAAACAAAAACAAAAACATACAAGAGAAGTAATTTAATTTTTGCATGAATTATTCTGAGGTTATATCTTTGCAATCTTGTCAATTACGGGTTCTACAAAGGCTTCTAGATCATCCAGGTTATTCTTGAGGTCTTCAACCTGCATGTGTTGGAATAACCAAGTTACTCTAAAAGCTTGGATGAAATATTAGTAGTGGTGAATGGTAATAATATGGTAGTTACTTTCATACTTTGTGTACAAATTCTTGAGTTAGGTGAGCATCATGAAGAGCCTGTTCTGATGCATGTTCTACCATTAAAGCTGTTTTTCTTAGTTTTCCATCCTTAGGAAGCATCTCTGCTACATCTTCAGATACCTTCTCTGCTACCGTTGCCACTTTTTCTACCACTTTTGCCACCTCCTCAACCTCTTCAACCACAACCTCTGCCTCTTCTGAATCCACATTTTGTCCCCCAGTTAACAAACAAGGTTATTCTCAGTTAATTTGGAAAATTTAAGAAATTAGGTTGTTTATTAAGCATCAATAAATATTAGGATAAAACTTGTATCTGCTATAATAGATGTTGCAGATTTTTTGGTAAATTTTATCTCAATAATACGTATAATAAGATATTTAATTAAATATTAATGCATATTATTGAAATAAAATTTCAAATTTTAATTAAAGAACAACATTAACAATTGTGTTTAGGAAAGTTGTAAAATTAAATTATTTTAATAATTAATTATAATTAAAATAAAATTTTGTTTAAGTTTTATGATAAAAAATTTAAGATGTTTAATTTTGTTTGAATACAAAAATCAATTTTTACATAGTATATCGACTTAAAAATAGGGAAAAAAAAGCTTTTAAAAAATAATTATAAGTTTCAATTCTTTTGTTTCATAAAAATAACTTTTATTAAAAATCTTTCTCAAACACATCTTATATATTGATAATGTGAAATTTTATGTACATAATAAATTTATTGACTTTTAGAATAATTATTTTAAAATTCATACCTAATATAATCTTTAATTGATTTACGATGTTAATTTAGTTACGTAATCGATGCATAGAAATTAAACTATACCAAATATTCTATGCGTATAAGATATACCTTCCATTATCTGTAGTTGTTTCCAGTAAGGTTTCCAGAAAGGTAGCAGGAGAGAAAGTACCATGCCCAAAACCCATCTTAGCCTGCATGTTCATAACATTCGTTACAAGTTTTTGCACAATTATCATTTCCATTTTTGGTTAGTATTCACAATCCTCTCTTAATTTTAGGTGATTTTTCAATTAAATGAGGATCAATGAGTTAGTTACTTTGATATAGCCAATTTATTTTGTCTCTCAAATGATTTGTTTGGTTTATGTTTACCCAAATCAGTAAATGAGAGGCTGGAACCTCTAATCAATATCAGTAGCAAGGGATGCCAGCTCTTACCATTTAGAGAATGTGAAGAATTTAGAAGCAGGTGCAGGTGGAGGAGCTTCAGGTTGAACCTTCACATCCTTTATTCTACAAGTAAAAATCAAACAAAATTCAGCAATTAGATTAGAATTGGTTGAAGATAAAAGCAAAATAAAGGTTGTAAGGAGTTACCCTTTTGGATTAGTTCTTGTGATGCTATTGGTGCTGTACAAATGCTGGCCAGGATGCATCCAATAACTTGTTTCAGTTCTAGCAGCTGACACAATTGGTCTATTTCTCTGTAGTGATGCAACATAGTTTGATTGAAATTTGGTGGCACGAACCACTTCAAGAACACCTCTGAATTTCAGAGTTATCCATGATGGGCCTCTAGTTGACATATTGAAAGAATTTCAGAAGATGATCAATACTTGGTAGAGGTACTTGTTGCCAATTCAATTGTGGAGTTGCATGCCTGGCTTTTGCTATGGTATATACATGTGGGATTGGTTAGTCTTGCAGGCTAAAAAAACTAATATTTTGAAAGTGAATTTGGTTACTTCAAGCAAAGATGTGGCCTAAACAAGGGAAGCGTACGTTAAGTGACTAAGTGTTATGTGTCATGTGTGTTCCTTGCAAGTTAGATGAACCTCATGTCTTTCAAGGTAAAGTGTAATATTTTATTCTCCCTTTTCTCTAAGTAACTGAAAATTGCCCTTTTCTTTGGCCACTCTTTTGGTTATCTAGATCTTCTCCTTCCATAAATATGCAACAAAAAACATTGCTATAAGAGGAATTTCTCTCTCCACCTGCCCATAAGTGAAGGATGAAACTTCTAATAAAGAGAAGTGAAAGATAATTTATTTTTTAAAAAAAATATGATGGGTGCATGAGATTATTGGAAGGGTGCAGAAAGTAATTGCCACATGAGCATGAACTAATGGTTTAGGCCCAGGCAAACTAGTTTAAGAAATGAAACAAGGCTTGCTTTGAGAATGCTTCAACAAAATTTTCGAAACAATATTGTGACTATGACGAAAAAAGAAATTGCTTTGTGATACAAGCAAATCGGTTTGAAATTTTAAAATATAGAAAAAAGAAGAAGTAAATATACTATAGGGAAAAAATGTGCTGAAATTCTTTTTTCTTAATCAATATTTTATTCATCTTTTTTAGTCGAATAACTAGTTTTATTAACTTTTGAACAACTAGTTTTTATCGGGTACTAATAATTTAATAAATTAATTTGTAAGCTTTTAATTGCTGGATTGCGAAACAGCTTATTAACTTTAAGCATCAATCAACTATTAAAAAATTATTTAAATATATTTTTAATCTCTTAAATTTAAGATTAATTTATTTTTATCTTTTAAATTTAAAATTATTATTTTTAATTTCTGTAATTTTTGAAAACTTTATTTTAATCCTCAAGTCGTGAATAACATGTTTAAAAATGATATATTGAAATAATTATGTAGGATAATTTAATATGATATTTTTATTAGCGAAGACACTAATAGGTAGATTTTGTGTCACAATATTTAATAACTTTCATAACAAAATTTGAGTATAAGAATTAAAACAAGATTTTTTGAAATTACATGGAGTAAAAAGACTATTTTTAATTTTGAGAAACTAAAAATAAATTTATCTTAAATTTGAGAGACTAAAACATATTTGAGTCCTCTTTTTTCAAGTGAATTTAAATCATTTAATACTTTACATATCCAAAATAATGAGAAAAAAAATCACAACAAAAACTAAAAACAAAAATAAAAATTACAAGGAAAAAGTTAAGCAAAAAAAAATTAGGGACCAAAACCCAAAAAAAAAAAATTAGAAACCAAAAGGATATTTAAGCATACTTTAAATGTTAAAAATTGATAAAATTATGTTTTAATTTTAGTTTTTAGTATTATAAAGTTATAATTTTATGTTCTTTTTATATTATTATTATTATTAGAGGTAGTAGTACTACTATAATTACTTTATTAATATTATTCAATCAAAATTCAACCATTATTAAAATATTGATCCTTAAATTGATACTTTGATTGGTTGAATAACCAATTTCATTTTAAAAACATTAGCACCAATAACATTAAATTGATCCTTAAATTGTGCATCTCTTGTTCTAACATTTGTGAATAACTTTATTAAACATCTTCAATTTATCACACTTGTAATTCATGGATGAATTTTAGTCAATAAATATTGCTAGTAATTATTAGATTTGACAATTTTTTAAATCACATCATACATTATGAAGATAAATTTCTCAACTACAACGTATTATTAAATATGATCTATCGACAATCATAATGACTAGTTACACAATTTTCACAAGTGATACTCCAATCAAACTAACCATCATAAGTTGGTCAAATCATATCTTAACCAAAATGAGTTACTCCCTTGCAATCTACTCTCTCTTCCTATATAAACATATCAAGGATAACTCAAGTATGTTCATCCATATTCATATCTATATAAACATATCAAGGATAACTCAAGTATCTTGATCCATATTCATATATTTTGTTGGACATGTAATTTGCTTGAGCATTTGAGTCTTTAGAAATCCCCTATTTGATCTTTATTTGTAGATCTTTTTCAACATTGTTAAATGATATTAACGAAATATTTGTAAAAAATAGTTATTATCTATACTTTTTTTTAACTCAACATATTCTCAATTAAGAATTAATTTCTTGAAATATTGAAAGTGTCTTGGTAACAATCTCTTTCGATAAATATATTTTACGTATAAATATGAAAATTGAATACCTAATGCTCAACAACATGGTATTTATATGAAAATTGAATCCTAATGCTTAAAAACAAGACATTTACAATTCGTACCAATTATATTAAATTATCCTTGTTTTCTTTTTCCCCAAACAAAAGACTCTGACTTCTTCCAACTAGTCTACAATCAATCTGTAGCTTGGTTGGCTTAGCATGGTCATTTTAAGTTAACAACTACACCAAGTTATCTCTCGTTGTTTTCTATAACAACAATATAATAAAGAATAAAAGATGATTTCTCTCTCTCTCTCTCTCTCAGGATCTTGTTCACAAGTTCGCAAGTTCAACTTGTTACAAGATTATATGATAACGACACTTGAAACTCTATTTTGGCAATGTTATGAGAGTGCTATTAAGTATAACCACTCGTCAAAAGAAAAAAAAAAAAAAAAGAGAGTGAGAGATCAGTCTAACCCCTCTATAAAACTTGCAGGTAAATAGACACAAGACTAAAGTATAGCCATATAACTTGGGTATCTTAAATGGGAGAAGGTAACCAAACTACTAAAGTTTCTTCCTAAAGTCTCTATCTTGAAAAAAATACGAAAAAACACTCCCTTGGGTTCAGTGTTAGGTAAGATAAACTCTATACAACCCGCAATAATATTAAAAAAAATAAAATAAATAAATATATATATATATATATTTAATCACTCAAATTTAAGATAAATTTATTTTAAATTTTTTAACTTAAAATTAATTATTTTAATTTATATAATTTTAAAAAAATTTATTTAATATTTATATTCAAATTTTGTTCAATAATTTATTAGATATTATTGTTAAAAATTTACATATCATTAATTTTATTAATAAAAAAACATCACATTTAATTCAACTAATATTGTATAATTATATCAATATGTTACTTTCACGTATAATATAAAATATTAAAATAATATTTTAAAAATTATAAAATTATAAATAATAATTTTAAATTTAAAAGATAAAAAATAAATTTACTTTAAATTTGATGACTAAGATTATATTTAAATTAAAAAAAAAACTGTTGATAATACCTTTAAGAACTTTCGGTGCATTTGGCCTTTTTTTTTTTTTTTTTTTTT